TTCCTCATCTGAACTGATACCTTTTGTGGGATAAACTGTATTTCCAAGGGTCTTACAGGAACAAGCAAAAATTTTAAAATTTCTTTAAAAATCTCCCCCCCACCACCCCCAAACATGCATACTGATTCCTTGCCAGTGATGTTTACTTGCATAATGGGCAGACTGCCAGCTAAGTTCTTTTTCTGTGCATCACCTGCTCCCTTCCTCTGTGCTTGCCTGTCCTGCACACTGTTGGTGTCTCTAATAATCCTTCAACTAGACTAGTGCTGCCAGCCTGGAGCCCTCAAATTAATATGAGAGAAGATGTAAGAATGGGTCAAGGACTGGCATGGAGTCATTTTTTTCCATCAATTTTGAAAGGGTGACCCCCATGAGAGTGTGGAAAGATAGCAGGTAGGATAGTCCAGTGGTTGAGCCCTGACACTTGAAGGTCTTGGCTTCAATTCCATGCACTGCAGCTTGCTTCCTTTCTGTAAGCAAGTCATTTAGTATGTTTGTGCAGCAAAGTAGTGTAAGCATGGTTGAGCAAGCTTTGAACAAGTCAGCTGGAATACTGAAACAGTCATGCTGCAGCAGCAAAGAGTTAACTTACTATATGCTGCTAATGTATTTCTGCTACCCAAGCTAGCTCATTTACAACTTCTTCGAATATAAGTAGTACTGTCTGTTTGGTGTATTGGGAGTATATCTTTCTTCCTCTCCCTACTGAGAGGTGGGATGGCCTTTTTCAGAAGATGGTCCAGGTTTGCTTCTGAACTGAATTAAGTAGGGAGAAGGAGCAGGCTGGCTAGTGAAGTATGGTTCTCCTAAATATAGATCCTCATCTGGAAGCAGCAGAAGAGGGGTGCGATCTTAGAGATCCAAGTACAATCTACACCTAGAGATCTTGTTTTGGCATCTGAGTCCTCACTTTTCATTTAATTTCCTGTCATTCTCACCTTTCCTTCATGGTTTTGCCATCTCTTGGTTGCTCTGTAACAATAATGAGGTATAGGAACCTTTGACTAATGCAGAATATATAACACAATCTACAGTGAGCATGTTAGCTCACTGCCATTAGCTAGCTGCCATTATTTTACTAGCTTTTGGTAGAATATTGAATTGAGGTCGTGGTTTCTGTTTTGTAAAATCAGTGTTCTGTGATGCAGGTCCAGTAGGTCCAAGAGACTTCCTGAAGTTCTAGATTAAGATGGCTGACAACTTAATCACATGAAACTGTCACATTATGAATAGTGTCAATTACGAACTCTCTTCCCACTGTACAGTGCCTGTTAAAGGAGTATTGTCTTTGTCTGCAAATTTGTTGTCTGCTATTGATAGTCATTGCGTTGATTATGCAGCTCACAGGGGAAGGAACGCACCCCACCTCCTGGTAACTCCACTATTTGTCTTGCATGGTTTCCGCTGTAAGAGTAGGCATAGCTCATTATATCTTTTTTTTTTTTTTTGGAAGGAGGGGGGAGGAGGAGCTATATTCCCTGAAGAAGCAATAGTGTCTCTTAAATCTCTAAGACAATTTTATCCATTGATGAAGTTGAGGAAAAGCTGTACATGCAGTATATTCTAATAAGGGAAAAAAATTAAAGAATTAGAAACAAATTACTCTAAGTTGCAAAAAGAGGGGAAAAAATACAAGTCAATAGCAACCTGGAAATTGTGTTGTGTTTTCCCTGGATTTTTCTCCATGTGCTTTTCAGCTGTCAGAGCTATGGGTCATTCCCAGTCCTTGTGGGTAATTGCCATGTAGTATGGGATTTCTCTTGGTTGTTGGGACTGCCTGAATCGCAAACAGCACTTCATTCTCTGTTTATCTTTGTGCAGAGGAAGCTGCTGCTTATGGTGTAATTCTGTGAACCAGTGTCTCCAAGGTAATAATTTTTCTTTTCCTGTGCTATAGTGTACATCATTCTTGTGTCAGCATCACTGTTCACCCAGATTGTGCTAGAAACTGCATGATTGGAGTGACACAGTTAAACTTTTTGAGGATTATTTTTAATTCTTGTTTATTAAAAGGACTTGACTTAAGACCAGCTCCCCAGACAGCTGTGTTGACACAACTGAGATGACTATGAACTCAGGGAGAGGGTTGTGAATAGGCAACTATTTCTGCCAGCTTTGCTGCTGAAACCAGCATCTACTAGGACTGTATCCTCAGTTGTTCAGACTGGAGGATTGTGGTCATAAAGCACTGTCTTCTCTCCTCCCACTATTGCCATACAAATTTGTAATCCTAATTAGTGATACAACTTCTCTGTGTATACTCAGATTCATGTGACCTCCTTACAGTGTAAATTGCTCCTTCTAATGATCTCTTATCCCTTTACTGTACAATGTCATGCCTTAAAGGTATACAGTTTATATCTGTTCCTGTCTTGCCTCTTTCCTCTTACTGTAGATGTGCAAAGGTTTCTATAGGTACCTGTAAGTTGAATCACTCCACTGCACAGCAGGAGAAGGTGGCTTTTTTCTTGTTCTGTAGGGCTCAACTTGAGCTAAAATTTGTTGAACAGTAAGCCAATACTGCAGTTCTGTGGTGAACTGGATCAGAGAATTAATACAGCTGACAAACACTGAAAAAATAAGTATTTATGAATAAATGTGTTATTTTTCAGTGGAATCAATTCAATGATCCAAGTCACTGTAGATGCACAACTCTATTTGCACAAAGAGGGGTATCACGTGAGAAGAAATACTTTACAGTAGGCAGGAAAGGGCTGGTGCTGCTGGTAGCGATGTCGTTGTCTTCTGCCTTAAAACATTAGCCTTAGGCTGTAGTTCCCTGAGCCAATGCCACTGGAAAGGTGAGATTGTTCATACTCATTTCCCAGCTCTTTGCTCCCATTACTACCTGTGTGCCAACTCTTGCTTGTCAGGTCTCTCTGAAATGATAGAGTTAATGTAATTGCAACTAGCAGTAGCCTGGCATGAAAAACTGATAGTGAGCTCAGTCAGCTCATAGTGATCTAGCAAGTATCACAGGTGGAACAAGTGTGTCTGAGGTGCCCAGATGAGTCTGGAGATTAAGGGAGGGAGGAACAAATGGCAAGAGTGAGCCATGAGGTTTGCTCAGCCTTTCATGTCACAATTCCATGAAATGCAGATGTGCTAAATTTCTCTTTGCCACCTTCTTCACTTCTTCCATTACTTAATTTGTGAGCCCTAGCGTTTGTCCAAATTCCATTAACTCACCAACATGACAAAAAACTAACTCAGGAAAAAAGTGGTTTGCTCTCTTAATGTGTTAAATAGGCCATGGAAGGGTCTGATGAGGATCAGAGCAAGTAAGTGTGCCCTTCTAATGGCTGCAAACAGACTGGCTTAGTTGCCTGTGTAGTTACACCCTCAGACTTTATGCTTTTGTTATGTGAAAGCCCTTTCCTAGTTTTGCAGTGTCATGTAAAAACACCTCACTTGTTAATTATGATTCTAGCAAATTTCCAGCTTTGCAGAGATCTTACTTGTGACATGGCACTGCTATTGAATATGGGTGCCTGATTAGTAAGAGTCTTTAAATATAAATATTGTTCCTAGTTATTCATATAGTGGAAATTAATTATTCCATACTTAACTGGGAGAAGTTACTTCTGCTATTTGAGGCTATTCCTAGTTCCATTTTAAGCTTGTCATAATGCTTTCTAAATCATATGTACTGTAAGAAGCAAGTATCATAAAACATCTTATTATCGTAACAGCTATTGTTTTTTCCTCAGTGTTTCATAGAGGCTAGGCATGATAACCAAACGCTTGGAAAAGAAGAGTTTTTGGGAGCAGGAGGAAGGTTGTATGGGAACTGCACGCACAGGAAACCATTTTCTCATGCGTTGTTCTACAATATGGAATCATCTCTAGGAGTGAAGAACCATCACGCGTGTAACTACCTTCCCAGGGTATCAGCTGCACTGCTTTAAACTTACCTTTGCTATTTAATTCCTGGTGATATAAAGGGTATGAAATCTGGAAGCATCAAAGCCCTACTGTACTGAAAAAAGAAATGCCTGTGATTCTGCCTTACTTCTCCCTAGGTGAGGGAAATAAGAGAACACACCTGTGGTAGCTGTTAACAGACTTTAGAACTATGCTTTGATCCTAAGTGATAATTGCATTGTAACAATGTATGTTAATGCCCATTCATCTGTGTGTCCTCCATGCGCTCTCTAAAATTCTGTACAGCCTCTTTTAGCTCTGCTCATATTCCTCTTAATTCTTCTCATCCTCAGTTTTACTTACCTCTGTGCACGCGAAAAAAAGGTTCTAAAATCTTGTGAGCCTTTTGCATTAGGAATGTTTTATTCCCATATATATATATATATGTGTGTGTGTGTATATATATATTATTTTTAAAGGACAGCCATTATGTTGCTCAGAAAGCATAATTGTGTGTTACTACCTTCAGTCTGCCACTTGGAAATTACTACAGAGTTCCAGTAATGGTTATCCAAATAGAAATGTAGCAACACACTCCATATTATCTCACTTTAAGGATATGTGTAATTTATCTCCTACAGATGTAAATGTTGTAGCTGTACAAGTTAATGATTTCAAATATGTAAAGCAATCCTATTACAGTTGGCTAGATCCTACAACACCGCCTGAAGCTTTTGAAGATAGTTGTAGTTACAGTACTCAAAACTGAGCTGCATAGTATCTTTCTGAACCAGTCAGCTCTTGCAACAATAAGCAGGAAATATCGTTTTTCTAGGCTGTTTTTTGTGTCTCTGTGGCATGTTGCTGTTGAAAGTCAAATTGTAAGGACGATAATTCTCTCTTTCCATGAAACGGTTTTAGGTACTATGGGTAGATAGCTCAAACAGAAGCGAAAAAGCCCTCATGTGCCAACCGATTGGGGTTTTTTTGCTAAATGTATTTCTCCTCACCATGTATGTATAATAAAGCTACTTTGCAGAGGGAGGGAGAGAATATCTTGAAAACTTGTAGAGCACTTAATGAACATTGATATTGTTTTTTAAAAAAAGCAACTTATTTTAAAAAAGTCTTATATACAAAAAGGAGCTTAAATATATATCTCTGCTACCTGTATATTTTGGGTTGAAGTTTCTTTATTGCTTTGTTGGTGGTATCTTGCAGTAGAAAGATATCGTTTATTCTTCAGGCAGTTTGGAGTTCATTTATGTTTAAAGGTCAGTTCTTCAAATTGTTCCAAAAAAAACTTCTGTTTATTCATTGTCTTCTGGGGGCCACATGATAATGTTTATGTATGGTATTTTGAAATAGAAGGAGGGGTTGAACAAATATTGAGATACGGTTTTGCTGCTGCCTCCAGTCATCTCTGGCTCCTTGTTTCTCAGCTAGTACCTGGAGAAACCAACTTATAAAAATGTGCTTGTAAAAATAACAAAATCAAAGAATGGTTGCGGTTGGAGTGGACCTCTAGAGACCATCTAGTCCAAACCCCCACTCAAGCAGAGTCGCTAGAGCAGGTTGCCCAGGATAATTGTCTTGGTTTTAGATGACCTTACTCTAGCTCTAACTTTGTTTCTCAAAAGCCATGGTAAAACTTTTTAGTTTTAATGTGTCAAATTTGCATTATTGCCTGCGAGTCCTTTGATCTGTGACTTTAAGCTGGGAGTCATTATTCGTTGTTTTTATTATTTTATATATATATATATATATATGTGTGTGTGTATATATATATACACCTGCATGCATGCATACATGTATAGTGTTCTTCACCTACAAGTGTGGTGTGTTATTAGCTGAAGCCTTCTGCAATTTTGTTTTCCCTTTTGGGCAGTGTTTACTGATGAAGCACTAAGATGTAATTACTTCTTTTTGTAGTCCTACAATTTTGTTGCAGATAGATGCCTTTACTGGAGCAGAAAGGTGGGCAGCTTTTCACCTGACCAGCAGAAATGCGCTGTAAATGTCTGCTGAATAAGTCAGTAAAAAAGAAAAAGGGGGCTCTGGGTGTGGAACAATGACGGAGGGAAATACCTCCACAGCAAACAACCACTCCTGGCTGTTCAGTCTGACTTTGAAGTTCTCAGTCTGTCATGAGAGGCTCGGATCTAGACCAGTAAATTATAGGACAAATTGAGACTTAAAGCTGTAGGTGGGAAAGCTGAAAAGTCTGTCTGCACTGGTGTTCCTTATTTAATTGAATAATTAAATGGTTTATCCATCCCTGTATTTTGGGACTGCTCTGCACTGTACGTTGTCTTACCTGTCACTAGAATGATTAAAAATCGCTTTTCTTTCTTTTTTGAAAGAATCGCTGTGATAAGCTTGTTGATCATAATCAACCCTGAAGTAACATTATTTCTACTGTTCAGAGTATTTTAGTTCACTGCTGAGCAAGATTCTGAGTAATAATCTGGAGCCTTATGGCAGTATTTTCAAAGCCTCTCTGGAATCGACTCTTGTTTTTAGCATGTTTGTGTTTGTCTATAAAAAGGGAGAAGTGACTATGGTGCTGACTGGGGATGCTGAAGTCGAGAATTAATCTTGTTTTAAAACATGATGCTGATAACAGTGTGAATAGTGTTCCCTGTTGTGGTATCTGCCATTATGGGAAGGGGAAAGAGCACAAAAAGGACGATCTGAGTTGTAGGAAGAAATTTTGCTTAGGGCAGGAATATCAGCTGTGCCTTTGTGGTGCTTTGGGGTCATGGGCAGAGAGCATGCTGAAACCTTACATGAACTTTGATCTGGCTTGGAGAAACACATCACTCAATAGAGAATGCTTGTTTCTGTGTAATGTGTTTATACAAAGTGCATGCTACATATATTGCAAAAGCAGATGAACTATATGTGACATTGGCACTGCATTAGGGAGGAGTCTGAAAGTTTATCAGCTGAACATCAAAATATAGTGTTGTCAAAAGTGAACGGGACATAGAAGGGCAGACTGGAAGGCTGAATAAATTCCCCTCTGCACATTCTCATCTCTAGTCTGAACAAACCCAACTCTTTCAACCTCTCTTCATATGTCAGGGTCTCCAACACTAGTCATCTTAGTGGCTGTCTGCTGGACCCTCTCCAATTTATCACTCTCAGACTGGAGAAACCAAAACTGAACTCAGGTGTGGCATGCCGAGTAGAGTGGAATAATCACATCCTTTGAACTGCTGGCTGTACTATTGCTGATGTAGCCCAGGACATTGTTTGGCATCCACTTACTTGTGTTTAGTTTGCTGTCCACCAGAATTCTCAGGTGATTTTCAGTAGAGCTGCACCGCAGCCAGTCAGTCTCCAGCCCCTGCTGTGGCTTGGAATTATTCTATCCCAGGTGCAGAACGTGACATTTATCTTTAAACCTCATGCAATTCTTGATGGCCTAACCTTCCAGCCTGTCAAGACCTCCCTGTATAATAGGCTTTCTTTTCGGTATATCTGCCTCCTTTCCCAGTTTGGTGTTATCTGCAAACCTGGTGAAGGTGCAATCAATCCTATCATCTAGATTATTTATAAAGATACTGCATAGTATGAGACCAAGTATTGATCCCAGAGGTACTCTGCTCCTGACTGGCTGCCAATCCAGCTTTGAGCCATTCACCATGACCATTTGAACCCAGCAGTTTAGGTAATTTTCCACCCGTCTTGTCATCCGTCTGTCCAGCCCATGACTTACCAGCTTTTCAGCCAGAATGTTGTAGGAGACCATGTCAAACACCTTGCTATATCAATGTAGATGACATCCACAGCTCTGTCATCCACTGAGCAAGTTGCTTCATCAGAGAAGGCATTCAAGTTGGTTAAGCATGATTTACCCTTAGTAAATCTGTGTTTGGTTTCCTAGTCAGCTTACCCTTCAGGTGCCTGGAAATAGTTTCCATGAGGGCCTGTTCTGTAATTTTTCCAGGGCCTGAAGTGAGGCTGACTGCTCTGTGGTTTCCCAGATCTTTCTTTTTGCCAGCAGGCCTAATGCTTGCCCTTTTCCACTATGCAGGGCTTCCCTTATCTCCGTGACTTTTCAAGGTTCATAGAGTTGCTTTGCAGTGATGTCAGCCAAGTCTTAGCATCTTCAGATGCATCCCACCAGATCCTATAGATTTGTATATGCCCAATTTGTTCAGATGGTCCCTTGGTCAGCTCTTCTCTATTATTGGTGGTTTGTTTACTTTGTCATTGTTTCTTGGCATTGTTTCTTGTTCTTGGGAACTTACCCATGAAGACTGTAGCGAAGGAAGCATTAAGTAACTCCACTTTTTCTGTGTAACTTGTAACTAATTTGTCAACCCCATCAAGCAGCAGGCCTACTTGTGCTTTTGCTTACTACTAACATACCTATAGAAGCCTTGTTATTTCTGACGCGTTTTGCCAATTGAGCTCCAGTTCAGCTTTTGCCTTCCTAACCATATCTCTGCATGCCACCAAAATATTTTTGTATTCCTCTTTCATCTCTCTTATACCTATTCTTGCATTTGAGCTCTCTCAGTGCCTTGCTACTTTTTAAAAAAAAAGAGCTTTTTTCAGTTGTGCCTACCCCTTTTCCTGCTTAGAGGGATGGACTATTTTTGTACTTTGAGGAAGTTGTTTCTGAAAATCTCCAAACACTCCTGAGCTCCTCCCTTTTTCAAGGCAGACTACAGTTGGACCTCTCCTAAAAGTTCCCTGAGGAAGTTGAAACTTGCTCTTCTAAAGTTTGGGGGTCTGTATTCTGCTACTTGTCTTCCTCATACTCCTTGCGATTTTAAACTCTACAAGCATATGGTCATAGTAGCCAAATCTACTATCTACAGTTGCTTCTCCAAACAAGTCTTCCTTATTTGTAAGGAATAGGTCCAGAGCACCACTCCTAGTTGATGCAACTAGTGACTGCTAGAAAGATGTCCTTGACGCGTTCCAGAAATCTCCAGTATTTCCTATGCACTGCTGTGTTTCTCTCTCAGCAAATATCAGCAGTTGAAGCCTCCCAAGAGCACCAGGAATCTGAGTCTGCTTTCTTTCTGTATATATTCTCAGCCTGATACAGAACCAAAGGGTCAAGGGGACATGAAGTGGCGCAGCAGGAAGAGAGGGGAACAAATCTTCAGTACCTGGGAAGACTGGACTACACGTTTAGACAGATCTAGTGATTTAAGAAGAAAAGTTTTGGGGTTTTTTTTCCACTGAAATGGAAATTACTGATTATTTGCTAAGATACCTGTCCGAGGATACTCTCAGTATGCAGATCTTTAGGTATCTATTACTTTAATATTAAACACCTTCACAAAAGGAGACTTTATAGTTCAGAGGGAAATTAATAGTAATTATCTTTAGTTGGCTGTTATAAACTCTTTTGTATGTGAGGGACATGGATTGGGGATACTTCTCAATGAGTAACAGCAATATTCCCAATAGATCCTGAATTGTCGTGATTCAGGCAACCTACCCCAGGCCTATTTCCTTAATATCAGTAACACTGGGTGTTCCCTGTTTACATCACTGGTAGCTGGTCCTCCTATTCAACATGTGCCCTTTGCTGGGGACAGTTACAAATTGTTTTAGCTATGATAACAAATGCAATGGAAAATGTGTGATAGTCTTGAAAATCTGTGTGCTGCCTACGACCTAAAAATAGGGTTGAGGATACTGTGAGGTGTTGTCAGATCTATAGCAAAGGTGTCTAAGGCTGAACTCTGGAATGATGTGAAACTGGAACTGATCATTACTTCAGACTGTCCTTTCAGGAGGTGGTGGGGCCAAGCCTCTTAGTCTGGCTCTTTACCGTCTACCCTGCGATAGTCCAACTTTCTGTCGTTCTGGTTATGTACATATTTAGATGTGTCATTCCAAAGTCTTTACTTACTGTTCAGTAGATTTTTTTTTTAATGTTCCTCATCTCTGCTGTCTTGTACAACCCAAACTTCTTGTGTTGGTGCACTAAGCTTTTTGTGACTTTATTTACAGGTCTACTGTGAGTATGGGATGGTACATGTCCTTTCAGAGAAGGGAAGCAGCAAAGGAAAAGACTACTGTATCCTCTTCAACTCTCAGTGGGCCCATTTGCCACATGATCTGGGTAAAGCTGTAAGTACCTACCCAAGCAATAACAGAAGATATATTCAAAAATGTCTTTCTTCTAGGGAAGCTTTTAATTTCTAACTTCGATCAGTAGAACTGGAAGTGACTAATTTGTTTGCTCTATTTAGAAAATACTTTTATCTGTTAAGAACTCAGCCAGAACTGCAACAGCCATACTGCTTTCCCAGCAGCATGCCCAAGGTAACGACTACTTTGACTTGAAAACAAAAGTCTCCTTTTGCCAAATATGAGCAATTACATGAAAACGGCACTTACTTGTGGCAAAAAGGAGTTTGCCTATGTCAACGTGATACAAAATGATACCACATGGCCTTCCTAATATATTGAAACATGACCTTTAATTCCTCCTCGGTGGTTTGTGGTTCTGCCAAATGTAAGAATAAATATTCATGAGCTGTATCAGGCTTTTACTGCGTTATCCAGTGCCCTATGAGTTACCCATGCTGTTGGTTTCACTCTCCTTCCGTAAGAAGACCGAACAGGGATGAACTAAAGTAGCCGGAACTCAGTCCCTCACAGATGCCAGTAATCACTAGAACACGAGGAAGAAACAGGGGACACTCTAAACTTACTTCGTGCTTGCTGGTCGGATGCTAAGGAAGCTGGATCTCTGAAGAGGAACTAGTGCCTCTCCTCTAGTAGGAATCACAATGCCTTTTTGTATATTTTTGTGATAAGTGAAAGTGGGGAGAAAACCATATCTAGGGGCTCCACTTTTGCTCTGCCTCCATGTATTTCCCATCAGGGTGTTTTTTGTTAACTAGCTAACCTGAAGTCATCCTAAGATCTGAAATGTATATTTATATTGCCTCGCTTCTAGATGCAAGTTTATGACTAGTTTTAGTTTGGAAGATTGTTTTTTCTTTGGCTTCTCTTTCTGGCTGGTGGTGGGACGTAGGTTCATTTGAAGAATGATACGGAAGTTAAGCTCCTGTTCTGAATCTTTCTGAAAGAACTTGCTTAACACTGTAAGAAACCTAGCTTCCTAACTTGCCCAGTTAAAACACAGTGGAATTGAACTGTTCTTATGTTTTGTGTATGGCTTGCTTATTAATATTTATACATAAATTACAAAGAGCTAGGAGTGCCTGATAAGCCAGCCTTAACACTTTGTTCTGTTCTGAAATATTCCTTTCCCACTGTCCCAACAATAGTCATTGCTTACTTGCAGAGGTTATCCAGCTCTGTCTCATAGCACTAAAGTGAACTGTGGACTCTTAACATCTACATTTGCGGTTTGCGTTGTGGTCAACAACTGTCAAAGGACTTCTTGTGAAGAAGAGATTATAAACAGTTAATCCTATACCATATGAGGTGCTGTTCCTCTATGTGGATTACCGCTGTGAATAATGACCAAGTAGTTTCACTAAGTCAGTCACGTTCATCTCTTGATTTTAGCTAGGGGAGAATGTGCAGTTGCTTGCTGTCATGGCATCCTAAGGCAAATAATTGCAATGACTAATTAGCCACCGGAAAAATGAAAAGCATTTAGACCATCTAGATCAGGAATGCAACAAAACCTTGTCTGCTTCTCTGGAAAAAGTCCTTGGATTCCCAGTGACAGACTTGCTCTTCTTTCCACTTCAATTACAAGATACATTTTTCTTCCATTGGTAGACTCAAAGCTAATAAAACCTTTTCTCAAACTTGATTTTTTTTTTCTCACTAGAATGTTCCATGAGACTGGCAAGAATGCAACAGTATTGCCTCAAGCAACTCTTTATGGGTTCTGGGCCTTGGTATCTGGCTTTGTTAATCTCTTTATTAGGAGAGCTTTGCTTATCTGATTTATATTTATAGGAGACTTGATATTGCAAAGACTAATAGTGCATCAAAATCCAGACTGCTTAACAAGGATACTAAGATGAGGGGATTGTTTGTAAGAGGAATTATATACACCTTTAGTTTCCAGAAGTATATTTGCAAGCTGTATTTCCTAGGCTTGGTTAAACAGCTTTACTAAAGTTACTGCCTGTTGTGGAAAAATCTAAGTTGGCAGGAACTTCTGGAAATTATCTTGCTCAATTTTCTGTTGAAAACGGGGCCTCAGATTAGGCTCTGTCAAGCTGAGTTTCAATCTCATCAGGCATGAATATCAAAGTCTCAAATTTATGAGATGCCACAGCATCCTTTGAGGTCTCTGCCCAACTGCCTGTGCTATTATGCTTTTTTACCTAAAAATTATGTAATGCCTTTCTTTATTCCTAAATATGCCTTTATGAGTGCCTATGCTGTTATACCTTATCTTTCCTTTTACCAGTAAAGTGGCCTTTTAGGTAATGTTTTCATCTGTTTACAAGATCTCCACAGGAAACTTGTGGTAGTTCCAGGAAGATAACGTTGCTCAGAATGTACGTGATCAGCCAGCATTTGCTTTCCTGTTGTATTTTTTCAAAGAGAAATGCTGGCATACTCTGGAAGTCCTTGGAACTTAGCCAGACTATTGATCATATGTCTGAGTTCAGAAAGGCTAATGCATTCGTTCTGTATCATCCTAAATCAAAGGGAAGGAGGCTGAAAGTTTCTGTGTAGGTAAGATGGCATATATTCAAAAGAGAGTGCACATGTGGAATGAGACTTCTAGATAGGGGACCTCGGGCAGACACATCATACTTCATATGGTAAAACTTGTTAAAACGACAATACTAGAGATGCTTCAAATTTGACATGCTGAATATCCAGATGTCACCTGATGCACAGCCTCCTGTTGAATCCACTTACTTGTATTACAGTTCTGTACACACCACAAAAAATGTCATGAATGCGTAGACTTCCTTCCAGATAACTAAATCCTTCTGTTCTTATCCCAGTCTTCAAATGAAATTCTTATCATGGAATGATGAAATTGTCAAATCGATGCACTTTGAAGATATGAGGGAGTTGGTTGGTTGATACTCTGTTCATTTTATTCATTGTATTCCTTAATCTACTCATTGCATTACATAGAATTAAATGTTCCTTATCAATGTGTAATCAAGTTCTAATTACCCACAGTGCGTTCATCCCAACTGCAAATTATGCCCTGGATGCATAGATAACCCAAATGCTATGGTTGTGTCTGCCTCATCTAGACCTGCCTCGTGTAGACCTGACTCTGTGTACAGTGAAGTCAGGTATCCCTTTTTCAATGCCAGGAGTGGGAGCACAGTGTACAGACAATTCACATAGTGCATGAAGTTGGCTGGAGAGCCTTAGGATCCTCTTTGACTGGATCCAGGCAGACTCCCCATGTAAACAGTCTCTAGCATTCCAGACTCTAAGATCTGTGCTGTAGATGCTCTGTTCCAGCCAGTCTCACTGAAGTTCGTAGAGAAGCATTTAAGTAGTTCTGCAGGAGCTAATATAGTCCAGGATAATGTATGTTGAACTGGAGTTGAGTTCATAGATTCTGAGCTTGTTTCTGCCAAGTACTTCAGTTGTCTGTGTGATATCCAATACCTATCACTGTTTCCTTCCTACTATTCTCCCTCCTTCCACTTCCCTCTGCTACTCCGACAGTACAGTTTATTAACTGAGGTGATGCAGAGCACAGACCTGAGCTGGCTCTGCGTTTGTGTTCTGCTCTGATAGAGCTGATAAACTTCCCTGAAACCTGGGCCACTGGGAAGCGTATGTCAAGACATCCTATTGTTTCTACAAGGAGCCAGGTTGGAGCCAGCAATCTTCTGAATAAGCTTAAGAGCTACTGATGGCTTGACCCTTACCGTTCCCTCTTAAAACAGTAGAGTCAGTTACAGATGCTTGGTATTGTATCATGTACCTGTGAGTTTCTAATGCAAAGTATGATGTGTATCAGTCTTTCAGGTTAAAACCTGAGTAACAATGACACATTTCATGCCTAACAACTTCCAGCAAGAGTGGGGCTCCCCACTCCTTCAGTGACCTCCTTCAATTAGCATAGCTTGCGCCATGAGCCAGTTACATGATTGATAATTTTGGGGGGGGGTAATCTACCAGTAGAACTGGGCAAAGACACTGGCTCTTATTCAGGACCTGCAAGGTACTGTTTGTGCAGGTGCTATTGCTAGAACCTTGAAGTGTCTTTGGGCCATTTGTGTAAACATATCAGAGTAGATGTATTTGGGCCAGAATAGGGCCCAAAAGCTAAGGGATTGGGGCAGACCTGCAACCTGAATGTGAATCACAAGCAGCCAGAGAAAATGCCTAGAATCCAATAACTGAGCAAATTTCTACTATTCCAATTTCTACCATTCCAGAGAAGGCTGGGCTTTTGGCTGGTTTGTTTTTGTGTTTTCATGTATGCACATGCTGGGGAGGTTGCCAAAATGGATGTTTAGTCTTGTTCCAAAAAATCCACACCCTAAAAACAGCAGAAAGAACAAAACACAAGAGCAGAAACTATGCAAAGTTTCTAAATGAAAATTTAGAACATTCAGGTAAAGGAGTGATAGATGGAATACTCATGGAAACTTGAATGCTGAAACAGTGTTCTCCTGTCTCAGATATAGTGCTGTTAAGGGTGATTAACATTGCTTGAATCTATTTAAAAAAAAAAAAAAAAAGTCCTATTTGCTCATACTTAGTTTTCAAGTTCAAGTTGAAGTTTTCCAAGATGTCTGCCTTAAGGCTAATTGTTTGTTTGTTTCGATGGTTTGAGGGAGGGGGAGCTGTTTTGTTTTTGTTTTATTTCAACTAATTTCTTCATCTTTTCAGTCCCTCTTGCAACTGCAGGATCAGACAGCGTCTGTTTTGTGTTCTCCTTCTGATGTACCTGATGGGGGTTTTAATAATCGAATCCCCATGGTGATGCGAGGGAATTGCACCTTCTATGAGAAAGTAAGGCTTGCCCAAATAAATGGAGCTCGTGGCCTGCTGATTGTTAGTAGAGAGAGACTGGTAAGTCTACTTCTGTGGTTTTTCTACATTACTGATACTACTTTGATGTTAGATACTTTCTCATACAGCTTTATTTTCTATCCAGTGCTTTATATGTGATGTGCTCTCTTGTCTTCAGTGCTCACTGCTGATACTTAATGCTTTGGTATCTGATGCTCCTCTTAAAAACAACCAAAAAAAGCCCCCTTCCCCA